ATCCCATTAAGATGAAAATGAAACCATATCTCTCCTTTCCCAGAGTCTAAGTCATTCCAATGGCCCCTCACCAGTCCCTCCACAAAGCCCCCCTGTTCTACAAACCATATTCTCTCAATGCATCTGCTTGCTTGGCTCAATCTCAAAGGGCGCTGTGCTCACTATGCTACATCTGGACCCAAAGCTTGTTCCCACCCCAGGGCCTTTGCATTTGCCATTCTTTTTTCTCCCCTGGATACTTACAAGGCCTACTCTGCACCTCCTCCAGAGCTTTCCAAGTGCCACTTGGAAAGACTACATTAGTCAGGGCTATGGGCTAACACACAGAGGCTGCGACAATATGGACTAGGGTGCTGCAGCCATGCACTGTATGCCACTGCTGCTTGTGGTTTGCACTGACACCCGCGGTTCTTGATACCATCAGCCTACTGAAAGGAGGTTCTAAAGCAGTACCATTCAAACATACAACTGTGGTGGATAACATTCCTTTAAATCTAAAATTTTGCTTCGACATCCACTCTTTTCTCACCAACTCTGGTAATGTCACAAAGACTCAATACTTTTAAACTGACAGAGAGGATTCTTTGTAATAAACAGAAACATTTGATTTCCAGAAATCAAGAAACACTGCTATCCACACAAACTCACTCCTCTGAATGGAGTCTTCAACTCCATCTTCCAAGCCCAAAAGAATGAGGATATTTTCCAGAAAGCACAATGCCCTGCCATTTTGAAATAAGAACTGAAAAATATAGAAAAGTCATGATTCGGTGACTTTTTTTTAAACATCCAAGAATTCTGAAGCAGGGGGTAGCAGAGGAGAGCCCTTATACCAGGACAGTCTCCCTAACATCTCAACAAGCAAATGCTTAGCTCATAATCAGACATGAGGATGTCAAGAGAGGACTCTGGCAGCAAAATGCCAAGAGAACTGTCCAAACCTCTGAGTAAGAAAAGATACACCTCATCAGGAACAATTACATTGTTATATTTAGTTGATTAGTCACAATGTCAAAAATATATTATGAAATGCAAAACTGGCTTCATCTATTCAAGCAATTCTGTATCTAGTGATTTTCCCATACACGGGACACAGAAAATGCACAAAAATTCCTATGGCGTGTTTGGATGGAAGTATGATTATGAAGATGACAATTAACTGGTAAGCAGCAAAGAGCTGTGCAAAAGATTAGCTAGGAAAAAACCAGTAGCAGCATACCATGAGACATGTGGTCAAGCTTCAAAACCACTTCTGTCTGGGAGCAAGTTCTCACGATCTCAACCGGACTTCTAAAAGAGCCCACCAATTGACCTTTCCCTCCTATCATGCCTCCTTCCAGTTCATCTTTACACTGCCCATATGATTTCTGGAAAAATTCCATATTGGATCTGCTATTTTCTCCTTTAGACACCTCCACGGCTCCTCTGCTTCCAGGTAATTCCAAGCTGTTCTGCTCAGCATGGCACGAATGAAACAGGGAACCCTGCCATTAGGCCCCACCCCTCAAGGTACAGCTGCAGATGGCACATTTGCTCCTGAGAAAGGCCACCCCCTTTCCTATGGTGGCAAACGCAGGGATGGAAAGCAAACCTGCTAACCAGACCGGGCACAGCACTGCCCTGGCTACTGCCCCCCACTCCCTTGCCCTATTGGTAGTACGTGCTGATCAAGCCCTCTTCTGTTGCTACCACTTTGCAAAAACAGGGGAAGTCTGACCCGATCTGAACTAACACAGAGAAGTGGGCAGAGCCGAGAAAAGAGAAGCAGTTCAAACCACATATAAGCCTTGCCCGCCATCTCTAGGACTTTGTCCTCTAAGTTGATCAAGACCCTTTATCTTTTAAGCCAGCTTGAGCTGGGATTTCTGTTACCCACAAACAAAAGCATGTGCACCAATGCCTGGCCGCCCTGCCTGCCTCTCCAGGGTCAGCAGGTACTGCTCTCTGACCATGCAAAGCTTCTGGAGCCCCATGCAGTCTCACCTCCCTTTCTCAGAGCTCCTTGCCACCTCACTTCCAATTGTCCCCCTGGTTCATTCCTATCAAATCTTTAGGTAATCTCCCCCACAAATAGTTCCCCTGACCCATCGTTGCTCAGTGGAATTGCTCACTTTTGTCCTTTAATTAGTAATGTATCTTGTATATTCCTTGATTATATTTGTCACATTTTATTGCAATTATCTGATTGCATATGTCTGTCTTACCAGCTTTCTGGTAAGACTTGATCTAATTAAGCACAGTGCCTGGCACACAGGGCTCTGTGACAGCACCCACCACACTGCACTACCGAGAGGACTATGATGTACAAATTCACTCACTATCCGGGTAGGAGTTAGATAAAAAGAAAACTAGCACACCTATGCTATACCCTTCGAAAAGACCCCTAAATTAAAAGGTATAGTAGAAAGCAGACAAACCATAGAACTGTTATCCAGATTGTATTGCAATCATTTTAATTAAAGAATTTGCCAAATACATTTAAAAATTCAAAATTTTCTTATTAGAAAAAAAGCAAATCAACATTTATATTATTTATACTTATGACGAAAACTTCACTGTTTAGTGTCTTGTTATGCTTTACCAAATGTCTTTTAAAAGATAAGGTCTATCCTGCTAAGTAAAATGACACCCAGAAAAGTATGTCTCCATATCTCAGGGGCCTCCCTGACCCACTGGGAGTAAGGGTGGGATATCATATCGCCCTTGTTTTATTTATAAAATCCTTAGTTTTATTGCTGTTATGTTGCTTTCAGGAAGTTTCTAGAAAGTTCCTATTGTAAAAACCACAAATTAAATTGTACAGGATGCTGTTCAAAAAAATAAGAAAGATAAAGTCTATCACAGAAAGTTTATCTTTCTTTCTTATTAAGCTATAAAAGTTATATCAGATCCTGCATATAAATGGTGGTGGCATCAGTGACTCAAGGCACAGGTAGCTAGTGAAAAAAAGAGCAAGGCTCTCTCCCTTTGGAACAGCAGAGTCCTTTCCTAGCTTGCACGCCTGCCATGCTCTCCAAAGAGGAGCAAGGGTGCTCACAACGTAGCCACCAGACACCTTTTGCTCTTCTTTGTGTTTCTGCCTCTGCGTTGGATGACAAGGGAAACCAAAAGGGCCAAGGCAATAAGGAAAATTCTAACACCTGGCAGACAATTCTCAAAACACCTGTCTCTCCACCACTAGACGGTCAAAGGTCTCGCAGCTCTGTTCCCCCCTCAAGGAAGGGGGGGGAAAAAAAAAGCAAATAAAACCAAGTTGCTGAAATATCACTCTACAAAAGTTTCTGACATTCAGAAAATGATTCAAAGAAGAGAAACAGGGGTCCCACAATAGATGGGGAGCCAAGTGGAAGGCCAATCACATCACATTAAGATGATTATGTTTCCTTGGGAAACAATACAAGGGGCCAGAAGGAAAAAAAAAAGACAAAATAAGCGGGCAAACTATACAGAGCAGACATTCAGCACGGGAGGGGGAGGGGTAAAAATGGGAGGGAAGAGCACAAGAGTCTATAGTGATGGCTTACAGGTGTCTTGGTGGTGGGGGACAACATCTGAGAGGAGAAATCAAACATTGTAATGAACAATGGTGTAAAATATATATTAAAAAAATGAAAAAAAAAAGATGATTATATTCCTGACATTGTATATTCTGACAATAACGACTAGAAAGAGACTACCTAGTTATTTTAATAAAATGCTATAAAATGGTTGAAATAAAAAGAAAACTATAAAAAAAGGCAAAGTACAGGAATACTACGTATCTACCCACTAAATGAACTGAATCTTATCATATTTGCTTTTGATTATTATAAGTTTGTATTTCGAAATACATAATTGCCTTCAACAGTGTATTCTCCAGGTAGCCAAGTCTTCAAAAAGTTGAACTGTTTAGAGTACGAGAACAAAACATTGGGATGACTATTGACCTAAATTGTGGCAGCCTTATCCTAATCACATGCCATACTTAGGTCCAGATAAAAGACCCTAGGAAAAGGCTCCTTTTGGTCTTATTCACTGTTGTATCCCCACAAAATGTAGTGGCTAGCACCCATAAATGTTGGATGAATGAATGAATCTGGGAATAAAGAGGCAGACTCGTCTTTCAGACCTAAGTTCCTCATTGCGACTTCTAACAAGATATGGCCTTGGGCCAACCATAATCTCTGGGGCTTATTTCTATATCTTCAATACAAGGGCTCAACTTATTCAGTTGGCAGAGGGGGGGAGGGGTGTGTGTGTGTGTATGTGTGTGTCCATCTGTTCCAGCTCTAAATCACTGCATTCAAGGGAATAAAGCAAATGACAAAAGTGAAAAAAACAAAAACAAACTTCCTCATATGCAGATATAAAACTATAACAAAATGTCAGAGACCAGTGACTCAAAGTTTGGGCTCCTGGCTACTCAGGGGCAAAGGGATGTCAAAGTCCTGGTGTTCTGGATACCTCAGGTGTGTGTTAACATCAGCTGGACACATCTATTTTTATTTTAGGAGAAATACGATACTTTCCTTAGTATATAGTAATGTTGGAAGGTATTTAGGAAAAACCCAAAAACAAACAGGGCAAAACGACCCAGATGTTCTGATTATAGATTTGTATCCTAGTGAGTCTGCACGAGGAAAATGACAAGGTTTTTTGAAACTGGTGGACCTTAAAATGAAAGGAAAGAATTAGAAGGGAACAACTTGAGCGATCCAGATTGACTTCCACAGTGCTGATCTGAAAACACCATGATCTGCCAGTGTGAACAATATATGACACGCTGGAAAGTTGTTTTAGGAAGGCATTCCTTGCCTACAAGATCTACCTGCCTAGAGTAAATTAATTTTTCCCTCTTGAACCATTTAGATTAATTAATGTGTTTTTGTTGTTGAATATTAGGTTTTCCAGCAGTTATAAAGCTAGTCTGTACTTCTACATAGTTTTAAGGAAATACTTCTAAAGGTCAAAATTAGTTGTGTAAAACACACTCATGAAACCCAGAAGGAGGGCTTACTTACCAGTTGGAACTCGCTCCTCCGGCTGAAAGCTTCCCTGATCCCGGAATCCCTCCAGAGTGCACTCAGGGCAGGCACATAGAGCTGGAAGGTGGCAGGCTCCACAGGCAGCCCTGCTTTGTTCTCAAAGGCCATTAAGAACATCCCATGCTTTTCATTTTCAGAATACTGCCAAGGAATACCAAGCTTGTCTCGTGCATCAACAAGAACCCTTGAGCCCTAGGAAATAAAAGATGGAAAAAAGGATTTAGCTGTGCTCCAAAGACTAGGCTGTCATAAAGCAGGAAACTCACAAGCTATCAAATCTGCAACCAGAACTTGTCTCTGGGTTTGCTCTGTCATGGCACAAATGTCTTAAACCCATAGGAATGTGACCTACTAGGATGGATGTACACACATACCACATAATAGGTCTGCCTTTGCTTGCACGGATTTAGAAAGACCTGGAAGGATGACAACTGAATGGGGGAAGAAGTGGTGACAAATTCAGCAAAGTGAACACTGGAAACTGGACCTCAGTAAAGACTATTTAAAACAACAACAGAGACTCATTATTACTGAAACCTGGCAGCTCTTCAACACCAGGAAGATACAACTGCTTGTTCCAACCAACAGTGGGTGGGAGAACACACAAATGCAGGCAGCAGCAGTCACGAGACAGGAAAAGACTTAAAATGCGACATAAGTCGAGTGGTCCGCCCACTGAAACAAGAGCCGGGGGATCATGTTCTAGATTTAATGCCACCATTGTTTGTGATGATGAGAAACTATTTTTCATTCTTTTGCTTATTTCCTCACTGTTAAAAATAAATGTTTTCTGCCCTTTTTTTACCTCACAGATAGGGTCAAGGGGAGGGAGAAATAGCCTGAGCTAAACTAAAATAGTCTTAGGGAAGGCATCCAGACTGTGGAAACACTGACTTGGTGATAACCGCCTTGCTGTGCAGTCTCTTTAATCATCTTAGATTAGTGCTCAGAATAAGCAACACATACCTAAGGAAGCTTCTGAGTTCTTCTGAGGGGACCCAATGCATGGCTAATACTGATGATGCAAAAAGTATCAGGGGCCCTTTCTGGAAAAGCCTTCACTGCCCTCTCTGGGCTGGTGGGACCTGGTAGGACAGGGAACAGTGCTCTGTGCTCCGCCCCCAGCAGAGGGAACACCAGGACAATACTGCCTCTTGGCGCTTCATTTTTTTTTTTTTTTATTTTAAAGATTTATTCATTTTACACACGAACCGGGGTACAGGCCAGATGCGTGGGACGGTGAGAGGATTCACCAGAGACAGAGTGGGGAACAGAACAGGCAGACTGACTGAAATACACTGCTGAGAGGAGCAGCGGGCGAGAGAGGAGAGGTCTGCCGCACCATGTGGGACCCTCGCTGGCTGGCTAGGATTGAACCGGCACTGCAGCTGCTGTGGACAGCTTCACAGCGCAGCGCTCAACCGCCTGCGCCACCAGGGGAGGCCCCATTTTTTTTTTAAATGGCAGCCTTATTGGAATACAATTCAGATACCACACAATCCCATCATTTGAATCATACAATGCAATAGTTAGCAGTGATCCTAAAAAGTTTCATTTCCAATGTCTGGGGCGGAGCAGATAGATCAATTCTGCCCTCCTCATATCTCTACTGTAGTTTTATCAGTTTGGTGCTTATAATTTCTATTTCTGCCTGCAATCAATGGCAATGGTTACCAAAAAGAATAGCCACAATCTCTTCTCCAGACCTCGCTGGCCAAAAATGCATGGTTAGAGGTGTTCTGTGAGTTTCCTCCACACTCATCTACCACAGGTGACCATGTTCCGGTCTAGTCATCCACAAAGACGTGTTCATGCTGACTTAGGGCAGAGTACTGAGCTAGATGTGTGGGAAAACAGCGCCTAATGAACAGTGTCTGAGCTCTAGAAACTCAGAAAAAAAATCAAACTGGATTTTTTAAAAAGATTTTATTTATTTATACATACAAGAACTGGGGTACAGGTCAGAGGTATGGGGGGTGAGAGGATTCACCAGAGACAGAGGGGAACAGAATAGGCAGACTGACTGAAATACATTGCTGAGGGGAGCAGTAGGTAAGATAGGAGAGCTCTGCTGCGCCATGTGGGTAGCACCCTGGCTGGCAGGGGATTGAATTCATGCTGCAGAGACTGCGGATAGCTTCACAGTGCTGTGCTTAACCCCTTGCACTACCAGGGAGGCCCTCAAACTGGATTTTATCAAAATTAAACTTCTGTTTTGCAAAGACCCTTTTAAAAGGCTGAAAAGACAAACTATGGTCCAGGAGAAAATATTTGCAAACCATACAGAACTTACATATAGAATATATAAGGAACACTCAAAACTCAACAGTTAAACATTTCAATTTAAAAAATGGGGAAAGGACTATGAAAAGTGTTATTTCACCAGATAGCACATACAGAGCGCAAGATCAGAAGTCAAGGGTAACGAGATTAGGACCTCCAGGGGTGATCACTATAGATCTACTGTATCCGCTTAAAAAGCAAAACAAAACAGTGACACCAAATAATAGTGAGGATACAAAGATATTTGATCTCATCCATTGTTGCTGAGGATATAAAATGGCATAGACACTCTGGAATATAATTTTTCAGTTTCTTTTAAAACTTAGCATACATTTATACAATTCAGCAGTCTCATTACTAGGCATTAATCCCAGAGAAATAAAAACCTATGCTCACACAGCAACCTGTGTAGGAATAGTCATAACAGTTTTACTTATAACAGTCCTAAACTGAAACAACCCAGATGTCCTTCAATGAATAAATGGGTCCATTGGGCTGATCCATACCATGGAATATTACTCAGCAATAAAAAGGAACAAACTATTGATAAAAGCAACACTTTGGATGGACCTCAAGGAAATTATACTGAGTGGAAAAAAAAGTCAATCTCAAAACATCACATAAATATGATCGTTTATATAATAATCCTGAACTGATAAGATTACAGAGATGGAAAGCAAATCAGTGGCTGCAGGGATTAGGACCAGTGGCAGAAGGAGGGTGTATGTGGTGAGAAAGGGTAGCTGGAGGGAGCTAGTAGGTGATGACGAAGTTTCGTGTCTTGATAGCAGTGTTAGTTACACAAATCTACACAAATAATAACATGACATAGGACTACACACATACTGTACCACTGTCAACTTCCTGGTTTTGAAACTAAATTATGGTTTTATAAAATGTAACCATTGGGGGAAAAAATGGCCATCCCTCTCTGTGGTATCTCTATTCCCTGTGAATCTATAATTATTTCAAAATAGAAAGATTTTTAAAAAGTTAACTAGCAATCATGGTCATATGTGTTCCAACTATGTAATTTGGGAAGGGAAGATTCCTAGAAGGCAAAGGGAAATTAGCAGGAAAAGGTAAGGCTCCTAATCAGAGCTAGGTCTCAGCCTTTTTGAAGTGTGGGTTAATTCCATTAAGTGGCAGCAGTAGATTAAAGCCTATTCAGAGGGAAAATATGACAAGGAAATCCTCTGTTCCCATTCCTTCCTGTCCCCCCACCTCCATTTCTGGCCTCTGCATATTTCATATCTCCCCAACTTCTCTCACTGCGTTATGCCAAATTCCCATCTGCTCAAGGAGACATCAAAAAGGTTAATGAACACAAGGAAACAAAGATGTCTCATATTTTTCATTATGCCAACAAAGATGATCTTAAGACAGAGAGGGTCACAGTGCCTTTGTGCAAGTCAGAAAAGTGTTCCCCGCCATCCCCACACCTGGCAAAAGGAGAGGGGACAGGATTTCAACCTCTACCTGCCTCCTCTCAGCCACCACACAAGATGGCCCTGCTCATACAACTCAAACACAGCAAATTCTGTCTTGATACATATTTTCCAGTTTCTTTTTTTACACTTTAAGAGATTAACTTCAGCTTTTTGGTCATGATGGCAGAAGCAAGATGACGAAGGTAAGGTCATCATTTAGAAAGTATCACAATAAGATGCACACATTGTACCCTGCTGTGGCTCTAAGGTCTACCACCAGAAGTCAGCCAGTGGCAGATGTGGCCACCCCACCAACAGAAGAGAGGTGTCAAGGCCAAATGATGAAATACCATTGCGACTGATTAAATACAGCACCTGAAAATTGCATATTGCAGATTCAGGCAAGGATTAGGAACAACACCTAAACTGAAGAGGACAGCTGATGTAGCATCTAGTTCATCTTAAGGACTTGTTCAAGGAGTAAATGTTTTAGGATTAGAAAATATCTACTGTGCAAAGGTATATGGGGACTTTTAGTAGACTTGTAGTATGTGTGAATTACTATAGGCTGGGTTTGGGATATATCATATTTACCTGTTAAGTAACTGTATTGGAGTGCTATCTTTGAACTGGCTGCAATACTACTTAAAAGAATAAGAACAAACAAAATCCTAGAATTCCTTTAAGCCGGTAACACTGGAAGGTGATGTAAAGAACGTAGTAAGTTAAAACAGCACGGCACATATGGCATATACAGATACTTAAAATGGTAGAGTAAATGAGACAACTTTTAATTACTTTTATTTACATTGATCTATTACAGTCCAATGACTTTGGGGAATGATGGTCACTTCTATATGACATAGTATGGAGTACCACTGAGAACATTAAGGATATGAGTTGAATTATTTTGGGAAGGTGATCTTAACTCATTCTAGTATCGATACTTGTTTGGCACTTAACGTACAGATTGTGCGTGAAGTGAAAGGTAAACAGCTACATGAAAAAAAATTTAGAGTAATCAACCTACTAGATGTCAATCAATAAAATATGTAAATGGATTGAGTCCAAAAATGTCTGTAAGGCCATATGAAAATGCAGTGCATTGAGTAGGAAATAAAGAAAAACCAGGTGCAAACTCAGATTGTAAGCTGAAGGCAATGATAAAAAGGTTCCTGGTGAAATTGTTTTTAACCATCCACTGAGTGATCAATGAATTTTCTGTGTTAAGTAAAGCATCTGCAATTTGGGGGAAAATACAGCTTCACAAGGATGACGACCTCACTCACAAATTAGATTGGGTCTATACATTGACTCCTCGGGGAGTTTCATTTTTAGATGTGGGAGGTAAAAGCAGGAAATCAAAACACACTTCGAAGATGGAGTAATCATTTGCCAAGTTCAGTGTTGTTCAGTGCTGCACAAACCCGGCTTTCCCTAATTATCGGTGTGAATATAGGTTTGGCTTGAAAAAAAAAA